CGCTTCTCCCCCAGCTATGATATCAGAGCGCCCGATATCCGAGGCTCATGTGCCTTGCACCAGGAATCCTGAGGTGCAGGAGGCAGGTGCCTCTGTACAGCTGAGCGTGGCAGGAAGATTGGTGGTGCTCCCCATCACCGTGGCCCTGAAGGAGGAGGTGAGTGCTAAGGACAGGATGGGACAACACAGGGGGATGAGTCTCCCTCTGCCTAGGTCCAGCCACTGCTGCAGCACACTCATCTCCTGCATACCCGATTGTGTGATTACAGGAGGAAGTGGGGACTGAGGAAGCAAGGAAGAGGAGAAGGACCACTACTCTGTTACCGAGAGAACAAAAGAGCTATCCCAGTTGGAGAACGTCTTAGACTGCAACATTGGTGTCAAAGCCTTTGTCCAGGAAGGACGTTTTCACCATGCAGGACATCAGAGTCAACCCATTGGTGCCAGACCTCTTCCGGGCACCCAGCATGGGTTCCCAGGAGGGGTCCATCTGCCCCAGTAGCGTGGGCATGCATGAGGCAGCAAAGGCAGCCAGACACCTGCAGAGTGTGTCACCTGCCAGTGTTCAGGACACCAAGGATGAGCCAGGTATGTCCCTGAGTCAAGTGGCACCAAGGCTATGCCGGCAGCAGCGTGCACACGAGTTTGGCCCTAGCCCGGCCTCCCCTCCCTGGACGAGGGCTGAAAGCCTCCAGTGGAAAGTCCCTGGGGGAAGCCCTTGGTGGTGGGTGGCAGCAGGAGCTTGCCTGGTGCCCGCCCAGCCCCACGCCTACAGCTCTCCTTTCCCCACAGGCATCGCCACCCTCCCGGAGAGAGGAGCAGTGCAACAGCGACGACCGTCTCGCTTCAGAAGGGCGCTGAAGGCTCTGCGCAGGGCTTTCCGCGGCTCCTGCGTCAGCCCCAAAGTGGAGGAGTAGAGCCCCACTGCCACCTCCAGACCCCAGGGAGCTGCACTGAGGACGTCGTCCTGCAGCCTGCGCGCGCTGTGGACACTTCCTCAGGCCAATAAACCAGATCTTTATCCCCACAGTGCTCACCTCTGCCTACTCATGCTGTGGCTGTGAAGGCAGAGAGAGAATGCATCCATAGAAGGCCCTACAAGTCGGAAAGGGAAGTCATGGGCAGGGGCCTGGAGCAGCTTCTCTTGACTGACTGCTGTGTCAGTCACCCGCAGAACTGGGCGAGAGAAGCTTCCACAAGTGCAGGAACTGGGGCCAATGAACTGGGGCATGTGTGAGCCCCTGGGGCACTCTCTCCACACCAAACACCCCCATTGGCAGACTGGTGGTCTCTCCCTTTCTCTGCCAGCCCACCACCCCACTTTCTCTCTCTCTCTCTTTTGAAAGTTGCTAAGTCACACCAGGCCCACCTCAGAGCTCAGGTGGAGTCTTAACTGGGAGAGGGTGAACACTTACAGAGTATTTGTTCCATTAAAGTTGGTGTTTGTGTAGGGACCTCGGGTGTTGCCTCAGCTGAATTCACACAGAGGGGCTTTTGAGGGAGATTCACATTAAGTCATTAGGCAGAAGCTCTTCCCTGTGAGGGTGCTGAGGCGCTGGCACAGGGTGCCCAGAGAAGCTGTGGCTGCCCCATCCCTGGCAGTGTTCAAGGCCAGGTTGGACACAGGGGCTTGGAGCAAGCTGCTCTAGTGGAAGGGTCCCTGCCCGTGGCAGGGGTTGGAGCTGGAGAGGCTTTAAGGTCCCTTCCAACACAAACCAGTCTGGGGTTCTGTGATGGTATGAGGAAACACATGGGTGACCTTTGCTGTCTGGGACAGAAACTACTGACACATGAACTTCTGAAGAAGATTTCTTCCACAGAAAGCTTTCCGAATGATAACATAGGAGCAGGGATCTTGTACAAATACTGTCTTTCATCCTAAAGAAATCCAAAGGGCTTTACAAGTGTATAAACACATCACAAAGGCATCCATGGATCCAAATTCTCAGAGGAGAGACACAAGAGAGGGTATTTATGTAGGAGTTTAGGACTAGAGGAAAAGGACTGAATTCATCAGGTAAATTAAAGGGAGTCAGAATGATGTGGAAAGTGCTGGGATGTGACAGCAGAACTAGGAGTTTAAGCACCTCTATGTCAAAAGGTCCCAGTCTTGTCTCTTATTCAGGCAATGACACATAGGGCATTTGTCAGAGAAAACTGTCCTGTCTGTGTACAATAGCCACTGAGTGGGCACACAAACACCCACTGGTTTATTCACACAGCCTCCTGCTGTACCGCCAGATCTTCCCAACTACCCAAACCCCTTGGTCTTGCTCTATTTATCATATAGACACAACCATAGGTGTGAGCCTAGACTTTGGAAAGGTCATTACTGCACTGAGTGTTTTCCCAAGTTGAACTGTCCATCTACATAAGTGGTTAAGCAGGTCAAGCCAACCCTACAAACAGACAGATTTACCCTATACAACATATAGGTTGACCAAGTGCTCCGTTTGCTGGTTCAAAGTATCGTTCAAAAGGATCAAAGCAAAGCAAGATGGACTGAATTAAGTCTCCAGGATTCCCATTACCTCCTCATCCAGTCAGGAAATAAAAGAAAATAATGTTCAGGGTAATTGAGTACAATCGCATAGTGGAAAATCAAAGAAACTGGGGGGAAAAAAAACAATCCCTGAAAAACTTGGAAAAACCTTTAACAGTATGAATTAAAATTTTCTTTTTCCTAGAAAAGAACATAAAAGCCAGTTTGCCTTTGTCGTGTACCGCGCTGCACGGGGCTGGAGCGTGTAGGAACTGGGGTGTGCGGTGCGTTTGGGTGCATGCGGACTGGGGTGAGCGCTGTTTTGGGGTGCACAGGAACGGGGGTGTGCAGCGCATCGGGGTGCACAGAGCTGTGCTCTGCAGGAAACGGAGTGCACAGGGACCAGGGTGTGCGGTGCATCTGTGTGAGCAGGGATTGGGGTGCACAGGGAACACGGTGCACAAGGATTCCGGGCTCACAGCGCAGCAGGGCACACTGGATGCTGCACTCTGTGCTGGGAGCTGGAAGCAGGTGGACTGGGGTGCGTGGTATATTGGGATGCACAGGGCTGGGCTATGCATTAACTGGGGTGCACGGTATATTGGGATGCATACGGCTGGGCTATGCGCTAACTGGGGTGCACAGGGACTTGGGTCCATGATGTACCAGTGCGAACTGGGATGCAAAGGGAGCAGGTGCACAAGGACTGAGGCACACAGGAACCTGGGGTTCACCAGTGATCTAAGGCTCTGCATTAGGAGCAAGGTGCAAGGGGCTCAGGGTGCACAGGGACCAGGGTGTGCAGTGTATTGGGGTGCACAGGGCTGGGACATGCAGGACCCAGGGTGCACAGTGCATAGGGGTGCACAGTGATCAGAGTGCATGGTGTATTGGGGTACACAAGGATAGGGGTGCAGTGATCAGTGCATGGTGTACTGGGGTACACAAGGATAGGGGTGCACAGCGATCAGAGTGCATGGTGTATAGGGGTACACATCAATAGGCAGAGTGCATGGTGTATAGGGGTACACAATGATGGGGATTCAGGACTAGGGTGCATGGTGTATTGGGGTGCACAAGGATGGGGATGCAGGACTAGGGTGCATGGTGTATTGGGGTGCACAGGGCTGGGACATGCAGGAACTGGGATGCATGGGGAGCAGGATGTGTGGTGCACTGGGGTGCACAAGGATGGGGGTGCATGGAGACCAGGGTCCATGGTGTATCAACATGACCAGTGACTGGGGTGCCCAGTGAATTCGGGTGCACGAAGACCAGATGCATGGTGCATCAGGGTGCACAAGGACTGGGGCACCATGCAGGAACCAGTGTGCAGCATACTGAAGTGTATGGGGATGAGAGCATGTGGTGTATGGGGTATGCAAGCGCAGGGACACATGGGGAGCAGGCTGTGTGGTGTACTGGTGTGCACACGGCTGGGCCATGCAGGAAACTGGGTGCACAGGGACCAGTGCCTGTGGTGTTACCAACGTGAACAGGGACTGAGATACACAGGAATCTGGGGTGCACCAGGGGACACAAGAATCCAGGATGCACAAAGACTGGGATCCATGGTGTATGGGGTGCACAGGGCCTGAGGGTGCCCTGTGGGCTGGGATCTTCTAGAGAAACACTCAATTTTGGGTCAAAAAAAGTAGTTTCTGTGTGTAAAAAGCCTTTAGCCTGGAGACTGGGGTGAAAGGCGACCTCCTGTGGTGAGATTTGGGGTACGGCCCAACTAAACCTTGTTCATGAACATCCCTCCTCAGTACATCTGATATTGAACCACAACAAAACAGCATCCAAGTGCTGGATAAACCAAACTCATTCATACAGGAACTGAAGGAGCCAGTTTGGTACCAGCCCCACTTGCCCCCAGCAGTCAGTTCACACACAACCCCTGCATACACAAAAGGGGCTTTATCTCTGTCCCAAGCACAGCCCCAATTCCTCTGTTCCTTCCCATCTGTGGGAATAGGGCACTAAACCCCCTGCTCAGGGAGGGGGTGGTGGTGGCCCTGGTGAGAACCCAATGTCCCCCTCCCACCCATGAGTGGGGATCGAGGCAGTTTATGATGAAGGGAATGATCTCCAAGGATCTTCAGCTTTTATACCCCTTTAAAAGCAGACAGCTTCTAACACTGGCTTTACACCATTAAAACACTCCAGGCTCAGAACTTGGAGCAGATCCTCCCTCCCTGCCCCTTCAATAAGCAGTTTTTTGGCAAATATTTAGGGGCTTCTCTTCCAAAACAAATCCAAGTGGTTTCTCCCCAAAGGTACGCCCCCAAAAGCCAGGACTTGGAGGAGTCTGTGGGTTTATGCAGCCCGGTCTGCCCCCGAGGTGCTGAGGCCACGTAGCAGCCGCTAAGGATCAAGAGACAGCCAGAGGTGAATGCCAAGAAAATAAAGCTCAAAATGAAAAGGAAAAGCCAAAGAAAAGGCACAAAATAAAAAAGCAAACCCAAATTTCAAATTAAAACTGCAAATCATTTAAAAATTAAAACTAAAACTAACATTACAAACTCTTTTTTACGGACACCAACAAATCAAAGACTTTTCTCTTCCCTTTCTCCATCTCCTGCGGGCAGAAAGCCTGCTTACAGCAAGAGCCAGGCTTAAAACCAGTAACATTTTTCTTCTCACATGGACGAAACTGAACCAAAATGAGTCTAAACTTTTAGATTCGGCTCTTCTTATCCCCATCTAGAATTCCCTGGATCCCAAAGTTGTTAAATCATTCCTGTTTCCAGGCAAGGGTTCACTCCTGGCTGCACACAGCCCCTCGTAGGGCTGTAGTTCAAAGGTGGTTGTGGTTTAGTCCCAAGCTCAGATGATGACACCATGGGATATGTGAAACAGGAACAGCAGACCAGGAGTTTGAACCAGGATTCCTTCAGTGAAGAGCTGGGAAGGGAAACCCCACCTGGCACTGGGAAGTATGAGTGTTTCAACAGCAAAAATGAGTCAAATAATAAAAGAATGTAAAAACTTAAAAAAATAAGGTAGGAATTACACATCTTCCCCTCTCTGCCAACAAAGCTGAGCTTAAATCAGCCCATCTTATTAAGTCTATGATTAAATCAACAAGGTAGTGACTGAGTTCACCAGAGGAGCATCATTCCTCGGATGCAGTGTCCTGACAGAGGTGTTACTCTCCAAAGATCCACAGGATGTTGACTCCCGATAATCCCAGGTTTACACGCCTGCAAAAACAAGATTTACCTGATTTTATGGAAAAGCTGCTGGTGTTCCCAATGAGAAGGTGGTTTTAGTGCCATTAATATCATCCCACTGGAGCTGTTTTGGTTCAAGGAGTGAGGGACGAAGTGCTCCACTTGTGCCCCATGCTCTGATGGATACTACCATGTACTTACCCCAGCATCCCAGATTCTTTCGTCTTTATGATATACAGGAACATCAGCAAGGTGTGGAACATGTTGTTCCTGCCCTGAATCCATGGAAAGAGGGAAGAATTAAAGAATGGAGTCACTGATGAGCAATCACAGCTCTATTTCAGGCAGAATAAGCAACTGTAGATGTCATGAAATGGCTCCTTGTGTTTTTGCCCTCAATACTTTCCATTTTCCAATGAGGTGAACACCAGAAACAGACCAAATGTTGGGATTTGGGCTGGAAAATCATCTCCAAATACTTTAAATTCCAGAGCTTTTTCTGAAAACAGATATCCAACATTAAAAACTGCAGGAGAATTTTGCTGGTTTCAGACTGGAAGGTTCCCCTGCCCTGGAATCCTTACGGACAACACAGGGTTTGCTGGTCTTTGGGGTGACAACAGGCACCAGCAACTACACAACATGGTATTTTAACATAAACTATCAGTAAATAGATACAAGGAAGCTACTACTGAAGTAGTTATGTACCTTAAGTAGATACTAAAGGTATTATTTAGGCACAGCCAAAGTAGTGCATTGTGGTCAAAGATCAAGCTCCTGTTTATGAGCACTTGCCCAGCCTATGTGTAAACAGTCAATAAATGTGGTTGGGACATGAAAATCCCACTCCAAATCTGATCCAGGGATGGTATCCTGATGGAAGAGACCACTCACACCATCGTACCTTGGGCAGGTTGTGGGTCTGGCCCTGATAGATGAGCTCATAGTGAGGTGGATTGATGCTGCTTTGGTAGATGCAGAAGACGTTCTCATTTGAAGTGTCTGTGAGGAGGAAGTGTTGGTTTACACCCAACTCCCATTTTTCCTAAGGTTCCCCAGCTCCAGATCTTTTTGCAACTTAAAATTCCCTTTGTCTTGCTTTAGTTTTATGTTTTAGACAGGTTTTCTGGGGTTGAAATTCATTTTAACACACACTCACTTCCCAGACCTCTCCCCTGCACATCACTCTCCTCTCTGGCACTCATCGTACAGCTTCCCAGCTGCCCTCCCAGTTATTCCACCCAGTGCCTCTCCTTCCCAGCTCTCCCACCCACTCCCACTTTTCCTTTCCCTGATTCCCTCACCAGTCTCCCCTCCTTCCCTTCCCTTCTCCCTTTCTCTTCCTTTTCACTCTCTTTGAATGACTGTAATGCTGCCAGGAGTAGGCAGAGGAGCTGCTCCTGCTTCTTGAATTAGCTAAAATAGCCAAATTAGCTTAAAATTGAATGAGTAGCACAAAAGAAGTATCTATGTTTAGCTAAAGCTGCCCCAGTATGTGGCTGCCCCATCCCTGGTAGCATCCAAGGCTGGGTTGGACGGGGCTTGGAGCAGCCTGCTCTAGTGGAAGGTGTACCTTCCTGTGGCAGGGGGTTGGAACTGGAGCAGCTTTTAAGTTCCCTTCCACCCCAAACCATTCCATGATTCTATGATTTCAAGGGCATCAACGTGAGCCAAGAGGCAAGGAGTAGCTCAATGTGGATGCTGGTACCTGGTTTATCTGGTATCTGAACGAAGTGCTGGGAAGTGAAGGTTTTGCCGTCGGGATACTTGGGGTGAGGCGGGAGCCTGGAGTCGAGGTAAGTGCAGAACACGTGCATAATGATCTGGGCAAACAAAACAAAATCCCACTTAAGCTTCCTTAGTTTGGGATCTTGCTTCCCATATTTAGCTTATTAAGAATACCATAATTGTGAAATAAAGTCCTAAAATAAGTATTCAGAAAACCACACTTCAGTATCTTTGTGTTCTAAACCTTCATGGAGACTTCTCAATACTTTATAGGGGCAACATCACCAGTTCTCTGTGATCTGATACTTCTGTGTTCAAAGGGATGGGATCTAAAGGGATCTGGACAGGTGGGGCTGTGTGAACCTCATGGAGTTCAACAAGGTCAAGTGCAAGGTCCTCCACATGGGTCAGGGCAATCCCAAGAACAAACACAGGCTGGGGGAGACTGGATGGAGCAGCCTGAGGGGGAGGACTTGGGGCCGTGGGGTGAGGAGAAGCTCCCCATGACCTGGCTTCAGTTGTGTGCTTGAGCCCAGAACCCCCTTGTGTGCTGGGCTGCACCCTCAGAGATGAGCTCTTAGGCAGAAGCTCTTCCCTGGGAGGGTGCCGAGGCGCTGGCACAGGGTGCCCAGAGAAGCTGTGGCTGCCCCATCCCTGGCAGTGTTCAAGGCCAGGTTGGACACAGGGGCTTGGAGCAAGCTGCTCCAGTGGAAGGGGTCCCTGCCTGTGGCAGGGGTTGGAACTGGAGGAGCTTTAAGGTCCCTTCCAACCCAAACCAGTCTGGGATTCTGTGACTATAACAGGATCTTTTTAACAGACAAAAGAGCTTTTCCAGACTAAATGCCAAAAGTCTCAAGAAATGTGGGAGATGCACCCTGGAAATCACAGCTTTGTATTTTCTACAGTGTGATTAACACAAATGTGAAATTGTGTTTATTTTTTGCTACTAGTAACTGGTTTAAGTTAACGTCAGAACTTTCCCAAGTGTGTATTTACACCTCTGAGCTGTCTGCCCTGCTGCATAGCAAGACACTACAAGTTGCTCCATGGCCAGTCACTACCACGTACTTAAATCACCTTCACAAACTGGACATCAAATCTTGTGTCAAGACTGATTTTGTACAACTTCAGCTCCCAGTGATTGTGTCTCATTACACCTTTCTCAGGAGAGGCGTGAACCTCTGACATTCTGATCTCCTGGGTTTTATTCTCCCAGGTAACTGAAAATCATTTATTATAATTATTTAGTTGAATAGAATGATTGAGTTTAAATATATAGCAAGAGCTGCCCCAACAAGATCCCTCGTCTCTGGCTGCTCCCTGTAGTTATTTGACAGATGGTTCAGATGAGCTGAAGTAAAAGCCTGGCCTATGACTAAGATACACAATTGCATTGTTATGGTCTATCCAATGTCCAATCTCATTTGCATTACTCCCCAGGGAATTTCACCACCCACAATGGGATTATCCATGGAAATGATGCAAACAGGATTTCACCGTCTTCCTCAACAGTTCTCGGTTACTCCCTCCAAACCCCTGTGCTCAAAGACAGCCCACTCCGAGCTGTCAGCTCAAGATGTCTTTGAATACTCACAGAGGAGTCTGTGGGCAGGTCTGTGTCCCACTTCCTGCCCCTGAAATCCCCTCCTCTGTTCCATCGGAATGAACTCATGCATCCTCCCTGGGAAAGCTCTGAAAACAATAGGATTCAGTTAATGGAAGTTCAAAGTGTAGGAGACGTATTTTGTGCTAATTTCAGGGACTTCATGTATATTTCCAGTGGACAAAATCAGAAACATCCAACTAATCAAATGCTTGTAAAGACATGGCCCAGCAGTGTGCGCTTCAGCCCAGAACCCCACTGTGTGCTGGGCTGCACCCCCAGAGCGTGAGCAGCAGCTCAGGGAGGGGATCCTGCCCCTCTGCTGTGCTCTGGGGAGACCCCCCCTGCAATCCTGATCCAGCTCTGGGGCAGCAGCACAAGAGGGACGTGGAGCTGTTGGAGCGAGTGCAGAGGAGGACATGGAGATGCTGCGAGGGCTGGAGCAGCTCTGCTCTGGAGCCAGGCTGAGAGAGCTGGGCTGGGGCAGCCTGGGGAAGGCTGAGGGAGACATTATGAGTCTTCCAGTAACTAAAGGGGGATGAGGAGAAAGCTGGTGAAGGACTTTTTACAAGGGCCTGTAGGAATAGGACAAAGGGAAATGGCTTTAAACTGAAAGAAGGCAGATTTATATCTTAGGCAGAAGTTCTTCCCTGTGAGGGTGCTGAGACGCTGGCACAGGGTGCCCAGAGAAGCTGTGGCTGCCCCATCCCTGGCAGTGTTCAAGGCCAGGTTGGACACAGTGGCTTGGAGCAAGCTGCTCCAGTGGAACGTGTCCCTGCCCAGGGCAGGGGTTTGGAACTGGATGAGCTTTATGGTCCTTTCCAATCCAAAGCATTCTAGGATTCTATGATACCGATATAAGATACGAGAAGGTAAATTTAAATGATGATTTTTATCTATAGTGAATGAAGGGATTAAACCCAACACTTTGCACCTTGAGCATGCAGGAGGAAACTGAGAAATAAGTCTTTTAAAACCATTCCCAAGGTTACATCCAAGTCCTGCATCATTATATCACTTTTAAAAGATAAAGTTGTGAGGAAGGATCTTTCCAGCTGAGGAGTAGCTCTCATCCCTGTGTGACTCTTCAAAAGTCTCCACTAAGGAAATGTCTGACACCACCATCACTTGACTGCGGTAACAGAAGTGGTTTGAAGTCAGTGTGGTGGCACCACGTTACCTTTAATCCTTTCCACCAAGTACTCCTGGTTTGGTGTAAGATCCAGGTACTGCACAATAGTGTTCAGGGTTGGAATGAGAGGAGCTTTAACAAGTGCTGCCTGCTTCAGGCTGCTGATGCTGGCTTCTGCAACACAAGAGAGACAGAGCTGGTCAGCCAAAGCCACCACATCGCTCTGAGCAGTTCCCCCTACTTGTCACTCTAAAGAGGGCTTGGTCCTTTCTGGTGCACCATTTAAAGTCCCCAAAGCATTTAAGAGGTGACACTACCCCAAATGCTCATTTCAGTTACAGTGAAGTACCAGCTGTCTCCTTTAGATCACAGAACATAAAAGATATAAGGAACCAATATCCACTTTGAAGAGCAGATGAAGAGTGGGACAAGACCAGCACTGACCTGTTTTAATGTGAGTGTTGCAACAGATGCAGCTCTTAAGGAGACACCAGATGAAACAACCCCAAAAAGGTGACCCCACCAATACAGAGTGGAAAAGGAACAATATTCAACAAAGGTACTGTAGGTAACACCCACCCACTGACACCACCATTATCCACCTCCAGGAACTCTAAAGCTACTGCCAGCTCTTACCTCCAATCTGCAGCTCTGGACACCCCGTTCTTCTCAGCTGAGTGCTCACAGAGTCAATCTCTTGGACAAGTGGCACTAGAATGGTCTCATTAATCCACTAGGAATGGAAAAAGTGAAAATACAGGATATCAGAAGCAATAAAAACATTTAAAAACCCCAACCTATGTTTTACATCCTACTAATTGTCACCATTTGCCCCTCTATTCTGGCGAGACCCTACTTGCAGCACTGTGTACAGTTCTGACGTCCTCAACACAAGAAGGACATGGAGCTGTTGGAGCAAGTCCAGAGGAGGCCACAGGGATGATCAGGGGCTGAAGCACCTCCTTTATGCATCACACCTTGTTCTGTCACTCCAGTCCCTGATGAAGAGTCCCTCTCCAGCACCCTTGCAGCCCCCTTCAGACACTGGAAGCTGCTCTGAGGTCTCCACGCAGCTTCCCTTCTCCAGGCTGAACAGCCCCCATGTTCTCAGTCTCTCTCTTCATATGCCACCTATCATATGTCTGACATGACATATTTGTTCATATGTCATACACCTGTCCTCATATGTAATATGTCATGGCCAAGATGCTTTTGTTTGTCGTTCAAAGGTAGATGAAATTTACAACTATGTAGTTTTTGGAATACAAACCACCCAGATCAGGTGGAAAAGGAATCTCTGCAATCCCTTCTTCCTGTCTTCTTACCTCCGTGTGCCAGCCCAAGACTCGGGCACCACAATTCTTCCAGCACCCATGGGACACTGAGGTGCTTTTCCACTCTGCTGGAGTTCTTACAAACTCACCTTGTTCTCAAAAACTGGGCATTCCTCAGAGGTGGCACTTACGTTTCTGAACTTGGCAGTCCAGGAATCCATGTGATCAAGGAGCTGTCGATTCATCGTCACCCGTGCCCAAACCTATGGAAAGATTTAGTAAGCACATATGAGAATCAAATACCAAGAGTTTTGGGGGTCTGTGACAAGTCCTGACATTAACTACATCACAGTTTTAAGGTCCCTTCTAACCCAAACCATTCTGTGTGACTTCTGCAGCAGCTTCACATACAACACTTGTATTCATGGTACAATCATCTTGTGTGAGCCCAAATTCAGTTTTAAGCTCTCTGCTCTACTAGGTTAAAACTGGTCTGAACTCGAGGCTTGATGCAAGAGGTATACAAGGGGTATATGGGTTTAAACTTAAACAGGGGAAGTTCAGGTTGGATACAAGGCAGAAGCTCTTCCCTGTGAGGGTGCTGAGGCGCTGGCACAGGGTGCCCAGAGAAGCTGTGGCTGCCCCATCCCTGGCAGTGCTCAAGACCAGGTTGGATGGAGCTTTAAGGTCCCTACCAACCCAAACCATTCCATGATTCTACGATTACAACTCAGAATATGAAATGTCTGCTTTTAGCAACAGAGTCTTTCAAGCTGTACAAAGATGATTAAATGCTTGAAGAATCGTCTCTCCCTCATTTCTGATGCAGGTCAAGTCCAACCCTCTGTACAAAGCTGTGGATTTTAAAGGCTATTTCTCCCTTTTACCCAACTTGCTGCCCAATTTACCTCTTCTGCAGCCTGTTTTGAGCTCATATCAGCTTCGTCCTTGTGTGCTGATGGAGCCTGGGACCTGCAAGCCAGCTGATACTGGAACTTCCTGAGCATCTGTGCATAGTCTGCCATGGAACGGCTGTAGTTCCAGAAAGTCGGGCTGCTGGAAGGAGAGCTGGAATCTGAACTTCCTGAGAGAATTCATTAAACAGTCATGTAGAATTACTGCCAAGTCACTCTGGAAGCAAGAGTACAGGCACACTGGGTCACTATGTTAAGGCTTTGACAAGAGACAGGAACAGGAATTACCAGGAATACAGGCAGAAGTCAGTCTGTATAATCACCCTTATCTTCATTGTCCCTATCCAGGACAGAAACTGCCTGCAGCTAATTCCCTTCTCCACAGGATATCCCTCTCATCAAGGTCAAGGTTATCTTATCATGGCCCTCTACAGCCAATGAACACTACAGAGACAATCTATCAGCCCCATTTCCATACAGGCATGTATCCTATTCAAAGGAATACTTTGGAGGAAAACATCCTAAGAATCCTAAGCCATGCCAACTTACTAGTCACAGATTACTAGTGCAAGTACACAGGAATCCTTTGCAACTTTCCTCATCCACAAAAGCTAAATGTGATTAAACCCATCACCTTCTCATTGCCAAGCTGTTCTGACTGAATCAGTTTTCTTTACCTAGCTGAACCCTCTGCTGCTTCTCTTCTTCACCTCGAAGGAAGGTATCCAGGGACTTGAGGTCTGTCATGTAGTCTTCTTTGCCAGTAGGAGAATTATAGAACACGGGTGAAGAGCGGTAACGAGACCTCAGGCCACCACCTTCCACTGGCCCAATACTCGTGGTGTACATAGATCCAGTAGGAAAGGGGCTGAAGCCATAAACCTTGGGTGAATAAAACCAAACACATCATTTCCTTTCTTCTACCTTGTGCTTACGCTTTAGTTTCTTAGTTTTGCTTTGCTCTGAAACAAATAAGCTGCTCGTAACCAAAGGAAGTGTCACTAGGGAAAAAGGGCAAATCCCAATACCACACATTTACATCTACGTTGTAACAGGAGAAATGCACAAATGCACAAGTCTCCCAACAGACATCTCTCCAAGTGCTGCTGCTCCCATTCAACGGCCCAACACACAAAACAAAGACCAAACTGTACCCCTGGGAGGTGTCTTGGTCGTTACCTTACTGTAGCTGCCACTTGGTGAATAGGTTATACTGCTGTGAGAACTGTTGTTGCTTGACAGAGCCTGTAGCTGAGGACTGTAGCCTGTGATACAACCAGTAGTAAACTTTGGACTGGCACTAGGGGAGCGAGAGGGGCTGTAACTCAGCACACTTTGACCCTGGATTGGAGGAGAAGGTGTTGAAGATGGGTCCTCCTTTGCTGCCAGCTCACGTGGTGGAGTTGTTTGTACAGCTGCAAGAAGGAAAAATAGGATTAGCACCGAGGATGGAGCAGCCCCAAGCTCTCCTCAGGCTTTAAACACACAACAAAACACATACATAGTGCTATCTTATGGCTCTTTTATAAAGCTGCAAGAAAGGACATGAGAAAAATCTGGTCCCTTGACAGTGGTCAAGCAGTAGACAGAAGAGGACACAGATGCATGAGCAAGACTCGGTACAAATCCTACAGCTTTGGATTTCAGTTAAATGTTACAGGCACCTGCATGACCCTGGGTAGCTTCTCTAACTTATAACTTACTCTACCTGCCTACTTCAAGCATCACCTACTAGATAATCTTAAGGTCCTTCCCAACCCAAACCATTCTATGATTCTATATAACATCCCTGAATTTTGGTGATACAGCATTACTCCTGTCTGCCTCTCATTTTCTTGAGGCAGACTCATGAAGTGCAGTGCTACTGTGCCAGCATTTTGCTGCTGATGTATTTACTTTGTCAGGTTCTGGTGTATGTTAGAACTTTGCTATGATCCTCAAAAGCTTTCAGAGTGACTGTACTCTAGGCTGTCATTTTCAGATCAGGACTTGATGATCTTAAAGGTCTTTTCAACCTAGTTGATTCTATGATTATAGGTTACATATTCCTTGCCCAACCTCACGACATTGAAGTATCTCACTACCCAGTCCTTTTACACCAGGAGTGTTTGTCTCCCCTCTGTTCTCCCCACACACACTCATCAGATTACCACTTGGCATTACACAAATTACACTTGATGCTGTGAACTTTGATACACAGCAGGTAATTCAGGTTTACTCATACCGGAGAAGTAATTCAGAACTCACTTAACTGAAGAATCCTGCACTAGACTAAGATAAAGGGAAAAACAGGAGAAAAAAAGAAAAGAATAAAAGTAAAAAGACTGCCAGAGACACTTATCCCACTCACCTACATTCTGCAAGCCCAGCAGTCTCCTCTGGCCAGGACTCATGACCACAGTTGTCGGTGCCAGTGTGTATTTGCAGTACAACCAGAGATCAAACAAGGCATTCAGGCTGAACACAGATGCAAAGGCAAGTTCTGGAAGAGACACAGATGGTTTTACCAACAAAAATACATTATTTGCAAAATCAGGAATCAAAACCAGGTCATTATTAGTGCTACCAGTGAGCACCAGTTTGGGCAACTATCTAAGATTTCTTCCCCAAGAAATGCAAGAACCATTGGAGCTCGTTTTCCTTACAGTCAGTGTGGAGTCTACTCCTCTGAAACAATTTTTAAGTACTGTGAAATGCCATCTACACCCACAGTACAATGCGGTAGTAAAATGCAGTGTTCTACAAAGCCTTACTCCACACATTACAGATTTAATGCTCCAAACAAGTTCTTCATGCCCTTTCATGATATTATCTAGGGAAGCTGAAAAAACTCCTTACCTGTCACTAAAGAGGATGAAAAAACTGCAACAGTTTCAAGGAAGATGACAGAAAGTAAACCAAGGGTTTGGTTTTAATTTAAACAGAAAAAAATATCATTTACAAATGACCCCCCCCCCCAAAACCCCAAAAACCTGGCAAGCAAAGAAAGTAAAGAATCCTAAAAACTAATGTAAATGGTGCAGCAACTCACCAATATACCACAGTAGCCAGTATGAGATGTTGTAGTAGGAGCTTATGAGTTTCCCACTCCTAAAAGGAATAAAAATGAAGTTATTTTGCAATAATTCTGCCCCAGGAAATATTTAGGGGTATAGAAAGTAGAATGCTTTGCTTGTTTGAAGCTGATGTAACAATTAACTTACATTTCAGTATATATCATGCCTGCAATAGACACATTAAGGAGGCTCCAAGCCAAGATGGCCTTCCGGGCTTTAACCTCCTTCCTAATCTGGAAAGTCTTATCGATAACGGAAGTCTCTGAACTCTGTTCTGATGTCATCATCTGTAATACCAAACACAGAGACAACATCTGTCAACTTTTATATAGTAAGTCTTGGTCAGTGGAAGATGAAAGAAAAAGCAGTTATCCAAAACTTTATGAACAGGGTTTACCTTTAGGCACTAAGTAACAGCGTATTATAAAAGAAAGCAGATTCTTTTCACCAGAAAAATATGTGTTATTTCTTCAATGACATTTCTGTCACCTCACTACTGAGGAACAGCACCCATCTTCTCCAGGGAGGTGCAAATAAGAGGCCAGAGAAAGATTCCAACCTCATTTGGGGTAACAACAGCACAAAAGGAACTTGGACCTGTTGGAGCGAGTGCAGAGGAGGCCACGGAGATGCTGTGAGGGCTGGTGCAGCTCTGCTCTGGAGCCAGGCTGAGAGAGCTGGGCTGGGTCAGCCTGGAGAAGAGAAGGCTCCTGAAGGGGAGACCTTAGAGCAGCTCCAGTGCCTAAAGGGGCTGCAGGAAAGCTGGAGAGAGGCTTGGGACAAGGGCCTGTAGGGACAGGCCAAGGGGAATGGCTTGAACCTGCCCGAGGGGAGACTGAGATGAGCTCTTAGGCAGAAGAATTCAAACCAGTCTGTGATTCTGAGATTCATATTTGAAAAAGAGCATCCTTCAGAAGTGAGAGTCAAAGTTCCTGCCTTCTCCAGGCAAAGGAAGCCACAGGAAAGAAAGGCCTAGTACCATTCCACAGTATTTTTATTGAACTTTCCCACTCATTTAAGCAGCCAACAGGATTTCAAGAGTGTGCAAACACCTCCTGTGGGTTCAGTGCATCTGAAAAGTAGCAGCTTTTATACCCAGTAACACCTTATGTCAAAGAACTAATCCTGGTGAGTTTTTCTTCCAGTCCCATCATCAAAATATGCTATTGTCCCTTCCTTCTGCTCACTTGAACACTTGCCACATCGTTCTTCACTAGATGGGAACATAAATAGTTTTCTTTTAGGGAAAAAAACACACAAAACCCAAATCACATTATCTGCTTCATCCTGGCACAATGATTCAATGGTGAAATAACATCGGGGTACTGGAAGAATGATACAAGAACACATTGCTGGCAATCTTTCTGACTGGTTTTTCATACACTTTGAGCCCCCAAACCTCCCTTCCCATGCTGACAGAAGTAGCAGCCCCAAGGAGAAATCCTCTCTGCCATCCTCACACTCCCAACTTCTCTCCCTGAACCATGTCCTGCTACTTAAGCAGAATTTGCACTCTTGGGGCACTGAAATAAAAGGGAGATTTGGTCCCTTTCTACTCACTTAGGAGGGCATCACCTGTAGACTGAAATATATCCTCCCATACCCCCTGCCCTCTTCTGAAGCACAGTAATCACAGAATCATAGAATGGTTAGGGTTGGAAAGGACCTTAGGATCATCCAGTTCCAACACCCCTGCAGGGACACCTTGCACTAAACCGTGTCACCCAAAACTCCACCCAACCTGGCCTTGAACACTGCCAGGGATGGGGCAGCCACAGCTTCTCTGGGCACCCTGTGCCAGCGCCTCAGCACCCTCACAGGGAAGAGCTTCTGCCTTATCTCCAACCTGAACTTCCCCTGTTTCAGTTTGAACCCATCACCCCTTGTCCTATCACTCCAGTCCCTGAAGAAGAGCCCCTCTCCAGCATCCTTGTAGCCCCCTTCAGACACTGGAAGCTGCTATGAGGTCTCCACGCAGCTCCTCTTCTCCAGGCTCAACAGCCCCAGTGTTCTCAGCCTGTCTCCATACGGGAGCTGCTCCAGCCCCTGATCATCCTCGTGGCCTCCTCTGGGCTTGCTCCAACAGCTCCATGTCTTTTGATGCTGAGGACACCAGAACTGCACACAGTGCTGCAAGTGGGGTCTCACCTCGGCAACCCACAAGTGCCACACACGGAGGTCCCCACACTCCCCCCTAATCCAAACTCCCACCTTGCCACACAGAACCACAGCTCCCCTTGTCCAAGACCCCACAGCCCCCTCCATCCAGATCTCATGCAGATCTCACTGTCACTGAATTTACACCCCCACAGCTCCCCTTGCGACACACAGAGGGACCACCAGAGCTCCCCCCCACCATACCTCACCGTTACACACACGCAGCCATACACGGGCGGCTCTCATAACCCACATCTGCCCCCATCACACGAAAGCGGCCCCACTTCCCCTCCACCCCCCCCTTCTGACCATCACTCACAGAACCACAGACCCAACGAGATGGAAAACACCTTTAAGATCACCAAGCCCAAGTTTTACCCCAAGTCCACCACTAAACCATGTCACTAAGGGCCTCATCCACACGGGTTCTGAACTGAAGCCCATACCACACAGAGCGACCCTCACCGCCCAACACCGCCCGGCTGTAGGCCGCCTCCCTTCCCAGCCCGACAGGGGGGGTCACTCATAATACCTGCCGCTGTTCTGAGCGCCGAGGGAGCTCAGCGGACACGGAATTCCCTTCAGGAAGGACAAGGCACCCGGTTTTCCAGACGGGAAGAGGAGCAGCGCTCCCCTCACACACGCTGCCGCTCCACGACCGCCTCAAAGGCCGCAGCGTCGCGACGTCGTGACGTCACACGGTGCGTCGGCGGGTGCGCGCGCAGCTGGGTGTTGGCGCCAAGCGGTGGCTGAGGGGAGTCCGTACGGTGGCCGGGTTGTGCCGCGGTGCGGAGGGGATTCTGTGCATGGCGGGGATGTAGGCGGTGCAGAGCTGCGCGGTGCCGCGTTTGTTGCCGAGTTATCTTTATAGCCTGGTTAACTGAGAAGTTCTGCATCCTTGGAAGTGGTCAAGGCCAGGTTGGATGGGGTTTGGAGCAAGCTGCTCTAGTGCAAGGTGTCCCTGCCTGCGGCTGGGAGCTGGAAGAGCTTTAAGGTCCCTTCCAGCACAAACCAGGCTGGGATTCTGTGATGTTTCATGGCTGCCTTTGGCCTGTTCCAATGCCTGAGCACCCTCTGGGGCAGGAATTGTTCCTCAGCTCCATCTAAACCTGCCCTGGTGCAGCTTGAGGCCGGTTCCTCTTGTCCCATCCCTTGTTCCTTGGGAGCAGAGCCCAGCCCCTCCTGGCTCCATCCTCCTGTCAGGCAGTTGGAGGCAGCCATCAGGTCCCCCCTGAGCCTTCTCTTCTCCACACTGAACCCCCCAGGTCCCTCAGCCCTTCCCCATCACACTTGTGCTCTAGGTCCTGCACCAGCTCCGTGCCCTTCTCTGTCCCTGCTCCAGCCCCTCAATGTCTCTCTTGCAGTGAGGAGCCCAGAGCTGAACACAGGATTCAAGGTGCGGCCTCACCAGTGCCCAGTGCAGGGGCACCATCACTGCCCTGGCCCTGCTGCTGCCCTGGTGCTGGTACAGGCCAGGATGCTGGTGGCTTCCTGACTGCCTGGGCACAAGCTGCTCACGTTCAGCTCCATCAATCCAGGTTGTTTCCCATGAGCAGTTTCCAGCTGCTCTTCCCCAAGCCTGGAGCATTGCAGATTGGTGTGGCCCAAGTGCAGGACCCAGCACTTTGCCTTTGGAACCTCATCCCATTGCCCTCATCTCCTGGATCCAGCCTGTCCAGATCACTGTACAGCTTCCTATCCTCCAACAGACCAACACTCCCACCCAGCCCAGTGTCATCTGCCAGTGTTTAACCCACTCACCCAGGCATGTCAGACCCCACAGACCCAGGCACTCACCCATGAGCAGTCAGACATGTCAGTGCTTCGCCTGGACAATGGGGTTGCTGAGGCGCTGCTCCAAACATTGCAGCTCACCCCTTGGAGAGTAAACAGCCCCGTGTTCCATGGCCAGTAACAAGGATCCATGGGATTCCCTTTTCCCTCTCTGTGGTGGTGCCACTGGCAGAAGGACCCTTTTGCCTCTGGCGCTAGTCAGAAACCAGATGAGTGGGAATAGGATGAGGAGGAGGAAGGCTCTGGGGGGATCAGAGGGAAGATGCTGCTCTGCTTCTGCGCTGGCACTGTGATCATCTGCCTTGTCTGCTGTGCTCAAGATAGTCATTAATTCCATGTTTTCTGCTGACACCTACTGGCCCTCAGCACAAGGATATTGGACTTCTACACAACTTTCCTGCCTAAAAGGCTTTCCCAACCTTGGAAGTTGTTATTATAACTATCTCATGGGATGATGTCACTGTTAAAACCAGTTATTAATCTCCAGGTGTACGTAACCAATTGTATCTCTCCCAGTACCCTTCCCATCCCCTTCTTGTTATTCCCAGTTACTATTCATCCGTGTCCTAAAATGCAAAGCCCCAACATGATCTGATAAAGTGTGTGGTGCTGCATGACTCAACATGTAAAATCTAGGGATAAGCCTGGAAAGCTGAAGGTCTCAATTCCCTAATATAAGGAAATTTGAGTTGGGAACAAGTAACTCCATTGCAGCCAGTGTTATTCCACAGATTTTCTAGAGAGAATCAAAATGATGATTCTGCTTCTACAATGATGCCAGTCACATCTATAAACGGTGAGCCACATACTGAAATCCCTACTCATTCTTTATCCAGGGCATTCCCAAGGTGCCTTGTGGATTAGGAACATGGGAATGATCCATTATTTACAGAAATAATAGTTCTCTCAGCAGTAATCCCAAATGAACTGTGTTATAGACAATTAACTTTAATCACCCAGATGAGTTGTGACGGAGCCCTTTGCCATGTCAGTGGGATGAGAAGATGAGAAAAGAAACATTTCTATCCAAAGATGGAATGGGTATGGGATTTCTGAGCAATGGGGGATTGGTATAAATGGAAGACATGAGCGTTCCCCTCCTGGAGGTGTGTTCTTGGGGCAGGAGCTGGCTCTGCTCCCTGTGCTGTAGCTGTGCAAGGACCAGTCAGCCTCATGTCCCAGAGCCTCTCCACAAGCTCACACGTGCCATGAGAATATAGCATTATGTAAGGAATTAATGTTTGCATGTTGTTCTGAGTAACATCTGTACAATGGTATTTCCCTGAAACAGCTCCTCCAGAAAGTCCAAAGGAAATGGTTATGTTCTAACAAAAGG